TGGGCAAGAAGATTTACGAGATCTAACGGACTTCACGATCACTGATTACTTTACTTCCGATTCATTCAATCTCCTGTTCACCATCTCCGCTGTCCAGTAACTCGCCTGGTCATGACTCCAACTGGTCCCATGATGAAGGTAAAATTAAAATTAAATTAAATTTAAACTTAATGCAAACCTACCAGAATTTAACAAACCGGGCTCTTCAGATGAACGTAGTGAAATGCTTAGAAGGTGGTTCAGTTGTTCGCCAGTTGTTCTGATTTCCCAGAGAAAAGACCGTTCAATTATCATCACCGCAGATTTCAACGTATTGATAATTACTGGATAGTCATTTTAGGTAAATATTCGTGAAAGGGTTTCCGCCATCGCTAAGAATTGATTTTTCAGTGTGAACTGGACCACGCTCTCTGAACTTTCTGACTTGTAGCCAACTATCCTTAGAGGATTCAGTTCGAAAAGAGACACAAATAGGCTCTAATGATAATAAATATAAAAAGGAGATGGATGGAAGCGTAGAAAAGTATATATTTATTAAATGAAGCTTTCAGAAGCGACAACTGCGTTCCTTCTTCAACACAAATCAGAAATCAAATCAGTAAATAATCAAAGTTTTGTAATGAAAGAATATAACAAAAGTAAACCAGGAAAATAGGTGATACAAAATGAAAGTTATAAGGGATCACAAAAGGAATGGATAAACGAAAAAGCAAAGAAAAATGAATAAGAAAGACTCCATAGCAGGGAGTAAATTATTGAAGACGAGAATCAAATTTGACGAAAGATCTTTGAAACCGAATTCGTCTTGCTCCAAGTGCTTTAGCAGGGCAGATTCGCGCTTCAGTGACATTGTCACATCTTGTGGTGAAGAAGGAACGCCGCTGCGATTTTCGAAAGATTAACTAATAAAAATATTTTTCCAGGCTCCTTACCATTTCCTTCTTTATCCATTTTTAACGAGTACCTGTATTTTGATACTCTTGAACTTCTAAGTTGCTATTTTAAATATTTATACATTAACTTCTTTTAGTATTAAACAAAAAAACAGACATGTATTTAAGTAAATATTGATCCCTCTAGAGCAGGTTTGGCGTAATATGCTAGCACAGACGTCGTTCCTGCTATTGATTGATTCTAGAAGGCTCAATACTTCTATCAGCCAAGGTCAATACGGTTAATGATCATCGCCGAAGCACTGGATTACTTCTGAAACAAAACTGATGTTTCTCATAAAGACTTGTTTCGAAATTCACGAACCATTTTACAAATGTAATGGCAG